AAAAAAAAAATATTATGTAGACAAATTTTGAAGGATGCCAGTGAATCTTTTTATCTAGCTTTAGCTTCCATTTTCTGTGTCTTGTCTTGGCTGCCCTTTTCTCCCTATTGACCACATTCTTTCATCTACTTTTCTAAACAATATTTTGTGGGGAAAGTGCAAAAGGCCCTTATATACCTTGACAGTTCTTAGTTTATAATTTGCAGAGGATTTTTCTGTTCCTTGAGTTTTCTTGATATATGCAAGGAGATTTTCAGATCTGAAGAGGGACCTTGTTGTGCTCAGACAGTGCAGGAAAACTTGTAAAATCATAAATATAGGAGTACTGCTGGCCTGAGGATATATTTGAGTCTATTACCAGTTTCTTTTGTTTAGAAGGCACCAGTGACTTTTTTGAAAGCTGACCAAAAGATGATACCCTAGGCTTCTCCTCTGGAAAACCTTGACTTGAATTCTGTGTTCTAGTGCTGATTCAGCTGCTTTCTGGAGACCAACCCTCTCTCTTAGGTACTGCGCCAAACTACAATGAAATGAAGATTGAATTAGGTTTTGTTTCACTGTCAAATATGGCAAGAATTAAGACTGAAAGTATTTCCCTCTCCAAAAGGAACGGGGAGAGGTTTTTTCCCTTCTTTTAAAGAAGTGAAATGAACTTACTTCGTTACGGCCTCATTTTGGATGATTTGTTAAAGATGTTTCTGCATGAAGAATGCAACAACATCTTGTAAACATAATAGCTCATGTAACTATTTAATCTTCTCCATAGCAAGAAATTGCTGCAGTTTCTTTGAGTGTTCTTATTTCTGTTAGGAAACTCGAGAAATTACAGGTTTATTAGTGGGTTGTATCTGCCATTTTTGTGTGTGTGTGTGCGTTCATTTTCTGTTTTCCTTTGCAGGTGTCACCATAGGTGCTGTAATGATTTCAACCACACTCTTGCAGTGTTCTCCACTGCTGGATGCTTTATACTTAAATAAATGCTTTATACCATTTACATCATAAACATTGCTTTTCAGTTTCAGAGATCATCTTTTGATTTTGTCCCGTCATCATTTTGTTCATTACAGACTGTTGCCTCCAAGCTTGTTCTCTACGACTCCATCTCGGGTTTTCCATTCTATTCTTCGTAGTCTCCTACACATTACACAGTAATATTTAAACTGGAATTTTTCTTTCATCTTCATTTACGGTGATTAGATTTCTAACGTTCAGTTGCTGGTTTTGCAAGTCTCTTTAAAAGTATTGTGGTTACGTTAAAAAAGCAGGCTATTTACTCATTCTGGCCAATGTCATTATCTTTTACTACTCCTGTATGTACTCGGTCGTCCTTAAGCCAAAGCTGTCAGGTGTCTGGATCTACTCCAGCATGTCTTGCTTACGCTCAGGATGTGAAGGTGCCATTCATCTGAATTCTTGAATAGCTGTTGGTCCCAGCCTTGACATTTGTGATGAAACTGAAACTTACCCTGTGTCCGTGGCAATAACGTTACATCCATTAGGAAGGTCTGTGTTTACTATTCTTCTTAGCTGTTTCTTGACAGAAGTGGACAGTCAGATTATAAAGTAAATATTCACTGGAAAGATCTTGACATGTCTGAAAACCTCCATGTCCCAGAGCTGTATTCAAGACTCATTTCCTTCCCTGCTTCTCTCTTTATTTTGCTTTACAACTGTGGTGTTAAAATGGCTGAACAGACATCACTTTTGAGGACGGGACTTTTACAAGTTCTTTAGGAAATCTGCAGTCTTTGCTGGAGGCTGGATGTATAATGCTGCACACATCGTAGAAGAATTGGAAACACTGGAGCAAAGCACCTGGCTTTTGAAAGTACTGATGCAGGGGCTATGATTTTTCTACTGTAAGTTATCCTGGTATACACAGTACTACACACTAGTATAATTTGAGGAGGTTAGTAGCTACATGCCCTTGCTACGTACTACAGTCTGATGAATGTAGCCACCAATTCAGTCTGTGTCTGCCCCAAAATTGTAGAATAAGAACAGATCCTCACTCTAGTTTGGGCTCCCAGGTGGTCCATGCAAAATCAGAGTCATAGGCAGGAGGAATTTAAAACAGAGGAGATAGGTTATAGGAGGTCAGAAGTAGGAGAGCTCACTGAGGCAGAGGTAGATCTCAGATAACATTTTATTCATTTCCCTGAACTTGCATATGACCCACATTGCTGCTGTGAAGAGTAGTGTTTCTTCCTGATAATCGGTTGGATCTCTGGCAATGCTTCTTCACTTAAAGCCTGGTCATTTATGACTTGACATTTCTGTATGAGCACTCATCCTCTTAGACAACAAGTGGGAAAGGGATGGTTTGGGAGATGCTGAAAGAAAGCAAAGGAAATGGGAGGAATGGAGACTGTATGCCAAGATAAGAAGGAAGAACAAGAGCAATAACAGCTGTCCTGGGGAAGGCATTAGTGCTGCAGTTCTCAACGTGAGAATATTTATTTCATTCTAAGGTAGTATGCTGTTGTAACCATATTTTCCAGGTCATGGACCTGAACATAAAAATCCTGTAATATTGCCCTCTACAATAAACAATTTTAGTGAGGGGGAAAGAAATACAAATTATTATCTTGTCCAAAACTACACTTCTACATTAAATGTGTATGTAGGTGTGGGGGAAGGAGGTCTCCAGTCATGTCTTTTTAATTCTCTTTTATCTTGGGGTAGGTGACAGCAAGTGACTCGGTCTGCAGATGTCAGACCCGGCACAGTGGCAGGAAGAAATATTAATCTGTACAAGAAGCACGTGCTGCATGTGTACCTGGTTTTTGTCTCATGCAGGAAAAAGATGGCAAGCCAAATGCAGTATATCATGAATCATACTGAACCTGTTGGCTGCCAGTTAGACAAGTGATATAGAGTTGTGCTAACTCATCTATAAAGTGATACCAATTCATTCATGTCTGTAAAATGATCTCACTGCTTCTTCTTTTCTTCCTCAGTACATTTTTCCAGCTTCTGTGCTCCAAAAAATAATTTGCTTTTTAACTCGGTGACTAACACAGCTGCTTTTTTTTTTTTTTTTTTTTTCTGGGCACTTCTCAGACCATATTTTGACCCTGAAACTTGCTGTAATTATAGTTGAGATTTTGCATCCAGCAATCACCAGCAGAAATACTGTTTGTTATGTACTTCAGTTTTGCTGGTTATTGCTTAATTGTGAGGTAAATCTAACTCTTGGCAAAGGTTTAATTAACGTTTGAATATAATTCTATTTTAGGTTGTGTGGAAAAAAAAGTGATAGTCAAATTAGAATTTTTTTTAATATCAAAATGTTAAATTTTAATGAAGATGAAAGCTGTCCTTTAATGTAAGGTTTTTTTGTAACAAATACTCTTACATGCAGTAAATCCTGACAAGATTGTTTATATACCAAGAAAGGAGGAAAATCTAAACAGTTATATGAAGTGATTATATTAAGAATTGAGAGGTCAGTCAGAAGACTTTAACAATCAACATCTTGTTATGGACGAAGGGGAATGCACTTTGTATGCCGAGCTAAGCATTTATATTTTATCTAAGTAGTTTTGACTGTCTAATAAAATTAAGTCCCTATTATTTAAGTTTTGTCAATAATATGGTTAAAATCTTATACAATAACTTCCAACTAATTCCCCCCTGTTATTTGGTGTTATGCTTCACCTTCCCTTATTTCTCCAGGTCTTAAGACTGGGGGGAGAAGAATTTAATTCGTGTCTTGGGTTCTTCATCTCCTCTTCGATTTTGGAGTCTGCTTGAGGCTAGTTTTTTGCATTTCCTTCAGGTTGCTTCCTTGCCGTCCCTCACCACTGCCCAGGCGGAGTTCGGGAGCCGCCGGCTGCCCTCGCCCAGCCCCGATAGCCCGGGGGGGGCTGCAGAGGGGTGCCAGCCCCCCGCCCCGGGCACTCCCAGAGCCAACACAGGCTCCAGGCAAACGCTGCCACGGCTAAAACCAGCTCCTGCCAAGGCGGGGGCAGACGCGTCCTGCCACCCCGCGCTGGCAGCTGCCCACCCCTGGCCTCGGGCGAGCAACGGCCAAACCAGCATTTACCGGGGTGCACCACAGACCATCCCAAACTTTTCTTTCTCAGTTGTCACTGACTCACAAGAGCCGTTACAGTCCTTTGAGACTTCACATGAGTACGAGCTGATCTCAGTATGCGTTTGCAGTGTTGGATCTATTCACTATTGCTGGCACGTAGAAGATTCCATAATGAAGTTTTGGTCAGACACCTACCTGAAATATTTATCAGTGTGAAAACATGGTCCTTTGTGTTCAGAACAAGTGTTATTTGATACTTTTAAATTATTTAAAAACTTTGCCTGAGTGAATGAGAAATCTCAGTCATCTGACACCAATTTGTGATGCTTAACTGCCTGCTTAGAAATCACCATAAGAATAGAAGTGAAGAGCAAATGCTAAAAGATACAATTTTTTCAGAGGTCAAAATCCAGATAAGTAAGAAGGGATGTAGCCTCCTTTTGTTGTTATATCCACCTACACTCACTTACGACCTGCAGATATTCACGTCTGTGTGCTTTCTTAAATGAATGTGATGCATATCTAAACCCCATCCTTTTTAACACACAGAATTTTAAAACAGACTGGGGCAGCGATGGACTCTATTGCTTTTTAAACTGCTTTAGACATTGTGTAGTACAATCTGGTAAACTGAAATCAGTAACTTTTGCTGTGAATGTGCATTTATAATAACCAGACTTTGAAAGCTTGTTTTCTAGTGACTGCTGCTGTAAAGTCTGATATGCCCTAATGCGATTATTTTTTTACCTTATTGCATCACATAGAAAACTCTAATGGCTGTTTTCAAGTTCTCTTCACCGTACTATAAGCAATTTAGGAAACTTCAGTCAAAGTGCTCCCACATTCTGAGGCTTCGTTGAAAGCATCTGCCATGGGACAAAGATTTGTCTACTGAATGACACCAAGCAGGTGGATTTCCTAGCGTGATTTCTAGTAACTCGTTTTCCTCTTGCCTTTGCAGACTATGGCACCATTAAGAAAATACTTGCCCCAATGAACCAGACTTCAAGCAGCTGTCTGCTTGAAGAAATTGAGCTCCTGCCGAAAAGTCAGCGAGAACCCATCAGGAGCCTTCAGATTCTGCACAGCCAGAGCGTCCTTTTCGTAGGCCTTCAGGAGCACGTGATTAAGGTCCCCCTGAAGAGATGCCCCTTTTACAAAACATACAGGTAAGAAGAATCATCTGGTTTGGTTTGATTGAAGAAAAATGCTTGCGGGGAGTTGCGGAAAAATGGGAAGGAAGCGTGACTTTCAGTAGGAATCCAAATCTCCCCAGCACCCGCCCTCCCAGCCACACACACAAACCCAGCACGTTCCGTCTCCCAGCGATGACTTTCTACGGACCCTGTTTCTCAGAAGTGTCCCTGACTTCTTGTACTAACTTGTTAGGACTAGGTGAGACTCTCAAGGAATTATATCGATATTTAAGTGTCATTGTACAGGTTCTGGACTGTGGAATGAAATTGTAACAAATGGTTTATGTAGGAAACAGGTATCTGATACTGTGCAATATAGCTGCTGGTTTAATGTATTCAAAGCTTGAAACTTCAATAAATTTAAGTTGGGGTTTTTTTTAAGCTGTGTTATAACTGAGTAAAAAATATCTCTGTGCGTTCAGAAAGAAAACTGTATTGGATGAACTGAGAGTTAAGCCTAGTTGGAAAAGTGGCTATTTAAAGGTAGTGCTGGACCAGGAAGCCATAATAAATGGAAATATTCTACTAGATGAAGGTATTATTCTGCTTAGTTTTTCAACCAAGGAAAATAACTTACAAATTATCACTTGGTTTTAGACTATTATGGTAGCTAAGGTACTTAAAGTTCAGCATACAACTTTTTCTAAAGGTTATCTAAAAGTACTTTTGGGTGGTGAATCGTATGCTATTAGAGATTGCTAATTTCATCCGATTAGTTATATTTTCCCTTTGATATAAGTGTGGTTCCAGCAATTCAGTAGTGTTGCTCTGTTTTACATCAGTTAGACTCTGAACCTGTGTGATGAGCTTGCTGAGAACTGTGACAGATGCATTTGGTTGTCTTTTAGCTTGCTTTGCTTTCACCTTGTTTAATATACATTCCGATGAAAATCTGAGCTATGAAAGGAGGGAGAAAGGCTGCCTTTCTTGGCTGCCACACTCACGATCACGGAGATGGTGTTTGAGCAGCAGACAGAGATTATACCTCCCCTGAAAGGCAGCGACCGTCTGCAGGTGGAGACATTTCTGGCTGTCAGAGGGACCGCGCGTGCGGTCACGGCGGGGAGGCGGCCACAGGACACGGGTGTAGGGCTGGAGCTTGGAGGTGGTGGAAGGACTTTTCCAAGGGACCTGGCTCTACATGGAGACGGGTGCCATGGAGGCCAGTGAAGGGCTACTGGGTTGAGAACAAGACTGAAGGAAAAGCCGTGCCCTGGAAACTGGAGTAGACCAGAGAAGGGGAGTATTCTCCTTCTTACAATTCTTTACCAGCCCTTTTTGTTTATGCTGTCTTATGTAGCATATTTTAGGCATTTTCTACTAGAACAGAAGGGATAAGATACAAAAAGTCCTACTGGATGACCTGCAAATCTTACTTTAAGGAAAATGATATATAGGCAAGGCTCTGCCTCACGCTTTTTGTTGGTTTAGGAACCAACACAGGACCAGGTTTCATCCTTCTTTGGTTTAGCAAGTTGAAACAGCATGTGTGGTGGTCCCATAGCCCTTTTTCTTTTGTTTCCTTCGTTTCATTAAGTGAAGGGGGGATACATGTATGCGTGTGTGTATATCTGAAGAAGGGAAGAATCTAATGACACATTCTTATGCTTCTCTCTTTTCTAGAATATGACATGATTATGCTATTTTGGTTGTACAAGACATTGAATGTGTTTCCCTAAGCAGATGTGTTTATTTCAGAAAGGAAGATCGGGCTGGTATCCCATGTTTTCTTCGGGACTGTGTATTCCTGATGGTAACAGAGAGAGCTCAATAATACGGGTGTCCCGTATTTACACCCAGCCTGTACTCCACTCCAGATATTTACAGTCTGGAGCCTTATAAAGTTATTAGTGAGGTGTGAACTCTGACATCCAGAGATGAGAATTCCAGAGCACCTGCTTAGCTGGTGCTTGTGTGGAGGTTCCGTGAGCTCCCTAGTACTTGTGGTTCTGTCAGGAAAATTCCTGAGGCACGTCAGTGATATCCCAGCTTCTGCCCACACAGTGTGGGACTGCTGTCTCAAATCACAGACCCCGTGCATGGCTGCAGGCTCGGCATTCCTCTCCCTGTTTCAGCAGTGGGTTCTAATTGTCTAGATTTTAAGAGCTTGCATTATTAAAAAAAAAAAAAAAGAAAAAAAAGAAAAAAAAGGTAGTGCTGTTCCCATTTTACTGAGTAGAACAGTAGTTTAATGACTCAAATCCTGTTCAAATGATAATTTATTCCTTGCTCAGAGGTATGTGAATTTTCATCTTCCATTGGAATGAGTTACTTATAAGGAGATAAAATTATTCCTTGTGGGGTTTTTCAGTCATATCTTTTGTAGTTATATGACTTTCCTTGTGATAATTAAATATCCATTGCACCAAAAGGGTTGCCATCCATGCTTTCTCCTTGGTTAAAGAGTTTGCCATCAATTCTAACTCTGTTTTGTGAGAAAGGAGAGGATTTACAGATGTGATGTACACGAAATGAGTCATTTTCTTGTCATCTATCATTAGGGAAACAGGTTGTTTGGAAAATGCAGACGTACTCTTTCTCTCACCTATTACTTTTGATTTGACTGGTTTTTTCCTGGCTTATGCTGGATTTCAAGCATCTTTAGTTCTCTACATGTGGAGAAGGTCTAGGTACTTACTTGGGGCTATAAACTTCACTAGGTAATGAAACATCTGATAGTTGGTCACCGCATTGCTGGGTGCTTTAATACTCACATTCTTGTTATATGGTGCCAACTATTACTTCTGCACTGCAGCAATGGGTAAATAGAGTAATGGTAAACCTTACCTAAAGTAATGCCTTGGTGTATTGTCGTTCTTTTTTCGGATTGTTTTAATTTTATCTATTCACATATGTCATACTTAGGGCTGTACAATGGTGCCAAGGCTATATTCTGAACTTCCATCGGTAATATCTGGAGTTTTTTCCCCACATCAAGTACATGTGTAGTCTTTAGTATCAACTTTACATAGTTATTGAGAAATGAAGCATGTTTGTGTATGAATAACAGCCTTAAAAAAGCTGAAAGCCTGAAGATGTACTAGCTTATCTGCTTCTTTTGGTGTCAATGGGAGAGTGCTCACCATCTAATAATTTATAATCTTTTTGTTTAGGTTTATTGCGAAACTTTCACACCATGCAGCTTCAGTCCCTCTGTTGAGCAGACTGTTCCACAAGCTTATATCTCAATGTCAAGATAATTCTCATGAGACTATTTTTCCCTTTTATTTCATTATTCCTTGTTTTATCTTCATGTACTAGCCTCTAAAGCACGAGGTTATTGCTTTCATTTGTAGTTTATTATGTCTTCTTAATTATCACTCTGATATAGTGTACATATTTAGTTATTTCATATTTCCTTGTAAATCTGTTCCTCCAGCACTTTCCTGTGGTGGAGTCCTCTGTGACACAGCGTTGCCTCTGACGGATATTCCCTCTGATTCAGGGCAGTCCTGTTCCACACAGACTCACAACTCTGCTCCCACAAACGCTGTTATCAAAGGCCTTTGAAAATACTGTTTTTTTTGGGGGGGTGTATTTTAGGTGCGGTTCAGTGCACTTTATTACCGTGACAGCAGACCACACCACAGGCGGAGCCTGTTGTCACACCTGCAGTTTGGGTGGCTCAACGCTTCCCATTTTGCCAAGACATTTTTGTTGTTTATGAGTTGCCCATGCTAGCTGTTTGGATTGACAGTTTTCATGGCGGGGCGGGGAGGTTCCTGCAGACTTCTGCCAGTGGCTGAATAGTTTTGAACATCCTGTCATAATTCTGCTGTTTTCAGGAGTCAGCTATGGAAAAATAGTTGAGGTGTACGAGTTCTTACAAAGAGTTCTCCTAAAAGCCCTGCCATCTTCACGCTCCAGGAGAAAGCAGCAGATCAGTTATCAAAACTATTCTGGGGGAAAATCCTTAAGACTTGACCAGGTTATTAATACTTGGGTATTGCAATTCACACATTTTTAGCAAACTTTTATGGAAGAGCATCAACATTATTCACTGGAGCTACTATTTTCACTATGAATTCTCTACCTCTCTGTCCTTCTTCAGAGTTGGGTAGGCCAAGCATAAAGCACAACTGACTTTTGTATACCTGTTAATTAACTATAATGTGAGATAATTAGAATTATTATCATGAGAAGATAACTATTAAGCTCTAAAGTTGCAGCGTTTGCTATTTACTTTGAGGGCACTATGCATTTATAATAAGGAATAAGATCTCTAGCAGGGGAGTAAAGACTCTGTCCCCTGAATAAAAGGAACCCATCATCTTTCTTTTATTGGCAGCTCTAGCCTTCAAAAGCAACCTTGGATGGCAGTGATTTCTCTGAGGCAAATTTTTCAATGTTATAATTCGTACTGGAGTTTTCAGCGCATCAGTTCCGAAAGCAGGGGCAATGAAAGGTTGTATCAGCCCAATGTTCTGCAAAATCTTACCAAGCACGGTTCAAGAATTGGTGTTCCTGATGGAAGATTGGTTTCACACACTTAGAAAGCTTGAAAACTAATCTTACTATGACATTATATCTAAGTAAATAGTGCCATCTGCTAAAAGCTGTACAAATAGTGACTTCTCTGGTGTAAAAAAAAACAACTTCTGGAAAATTTCGAGTATAGTTTTTTACATTATAAGCATAAATATTACTGGGTCACAAGATTGTTTTGCTAAGTAATGTTATCATAGCTATTCTACTGTAACCGTTACTTTTCTTTCGCTGTACTCCACCATTTTTATTTTGGCTTCTTTGTTAACCATCAGCTAAACAATCTGTACCTACACAAAATATAACTGTAACAACACAGTACTAAAAAGGATACTGGATTAACTAGCAGAAGAAAACAGTTATTGCAAATGTGCTTACGCTTTATTTCATTCCTAGAACTCTAGAAAGATTATTGGATTAAGTATTTCAATCCCTGTTGTATTCCTTTATTTTGCCTTAGATATAGATGTTGCTTCCTCTGAAGTACT